TCTGTTAAAAGACTCATTCCTACCCCAAAAAGTTCTACATAATACTAAGAAGAAGAGACAACGATATTATAAACAGAAGAAAAACATATAAACATCCACTTCTCAGTGATGCCCAAATGTGTAACATATATATGAAAACTAAAAATGCTCAATCTCACTAGAAATCAGTGAATTACATGTTTAAACAGAGGTATTCTACTACATGTAATGAAACAAAATGAAAACTGAAGAGTCAAAAATTCTTGGCAATAGTAAATATAAATCGCATATACTTGGACTTGTAAATTCACAAAATCAATTTGCAAACCACCCCAGATCTTTTCATTAATCAGGCTAGTATTAATACTAATATCAATAAAAGAAAGAGGCCAATGTTTAGTACATTATAATATACATGCAAAGCATAAATATTTGCACCAAAATACCTGTACTACAATTTTCATTGAAGCATTATTTTTTATTTCAAATATTAATCAGCTTTTAATAAATAGCTGATTATATAAATTATGATATACTTATTCAAAGGCATATCAACCAATAACAAAAATTAATGAAAAATGTAGTATCATAAAACTACATGGGGGCACCTCACATAGAAATTGCTGAAAAAAAAGTATACACACAAAAACTATGATTTAATGTATGATTGTATAAGTTTAAAGCATACTGATTAAATACATTGATATCATAGTGTTAATAGTCAGTCTAATAGTACATTTGGCAAGGTAGAAATTAAAAGAAGACAGATTGGGGATTTTGGGATTTTGGTAATATTCTGTGTTGAGACCTGGGTGATGACTCTTGGAGCTCTAGCACTTATGTGTATTTTTGTAGATTCCTTTACTTCAATAAAAAGTGCAAAGTTACATAACTTGATGTTAATTTGAAAAGACACATCTAAAACAAAATTGCTTTGAAAGGTGAAACTTTAAAGGATGAACCAAGAAGATCTGGCACACAGATGCAATAAAAACTTTCTTAAAAGCAGAGAGAACGCAGTGTGGAAATCCCACCGTCATACAGATAGGAATAGCAGGACTCAAAACAAATGGAACAGGGGCCCTCCTGAGACCAAAGCAGAGAAAAATCACATCGCTGAATGTTTCTCATTTTTAGACTTATTTAGCAAATGACACTTCTATTTCAAACAATATGTTTTACTAAAAGCATACTGTTATTACAGATAGCCAAAGAAATGATAGAAATTTGAATGAATCTGTATAGAAGAAAATGAATTCCAGTATGAAAGAATTAACTCAAATATTCTCAGTAACCCAATTTTTTTATAGTTGCTTTGTTTCAAACTTTCCTCAAGTGAATGTGTCTTATATGACTTTGTTCTGAATATGATGAATGTAGAAAGATCTTCAATTTGTTCTATGTACCTGTTGCATGTAATTTTTATACTGAAATATTACAAAAAGCAATTCAAAATTAAAAGGGAAATTATGGAGTAATATCATTTCATATGCAGAAATTCTGCAGTAAAATAGGACAATTTGATGGTATAATAAAAAATAATCGAATTTGAGCAAGTTGATAGTATTCAAACAAGGCAGTGATGATTTTTATTAGGAAACATTAGAATCTTTCAAATTGATAATTCACCAAAAAATGTTCATAGATGCTTTTAAAAGTCATTTAGTAAAACCCAATGTCTATGTCTCAGAAAATTCAACAAACTAAGAAAAGACAACTTTTATGGAGGGAGACAGGAGAGCAGGGAGAGGAAGACTAAAAATGATCATATATATATAACATAGTGTGGAGAAAGAGCTAGGATGTGCAGGACTGGAGGTGACACTGGTACAAAGGTGCTATGTTAATAATATGTACTCATGGTTAAAGCTGGCTGGGATGGTAGGCCCCACGTGTTCTCACCACACACACGTGCACACACAGTTACACACACACACACACACACGCACCCACTCACGCACACATGCACACGATGGTAACTATGTAAGACAATAAATAAGCTAATTGTCTTGATTATGATATTCATTTCACAACATACGTCTATCAAAACATGACAGTGTATACTCTAAGTATGCTTAATTTTTTGTCAGTCACACCTCAGTCAAGCTACAAACACATTTTTAAATTGTTTGATCTATACATCAAAATATATATGAAAATCAATTCATAATAGCATCACAGACCTAACATAAAACCTAACAGGATAAAAGTTCTTGAAGATAAAAAAAATTTATAATTTGGATATAACATTAACTTTTATAAAATTTTTGTTTTTAATGAACAAATAATAATTGTACATATTTATCAGGTATAATATTATATTTCACTACATGTATAAAAAGCATAATGCTCAGATCGGGATATTGTCATAGCCATCTCTTCAAACAGTTCTTAATTTGAGTGGAGAATGCAAGATCCTAGAAGCTATTTCAAAATGTACAATTAATTGTCATTAACAATTAGTCATGCTACTTTATTATAGAAAATTAAAAATGACTCATCTTATCCAAGCATTCAGGTATATACCTACAGTCCTAGCTACTCAGGAGGCTGGTGTAGGAGTGCAAGTTTAAGACCAGCCTTGACAACTTACACTCTGTCTATAAAAAATAAAATGTTCCTGGCATACAGCCTACAGTTAGAGGACCAAGCTGCTGTGTTGAGGCTTTGGGTCCAACGCACAATAGAGAGGAGGAAGGAGGTGCAGGTGGAATTGCTGTCCCTCCCATCCTTTAACCTAGGCCCACTAGACATCCTTTGTCCAAATTCCCCACTCCAAGCACTTCTGCTTGTGTTGTTGTGCTGTCCACCTCTAGGAGACCATGTTTCACCTTTCAACTATAATGAGAACTTGGAGCACTTGTCTCTCTGTAATTGACATTTCATTTTATATCATGCCCTCCAGTTCCACCCATGTTTTTACAAAAGAAAATCATATTTAATGATGTAGGGGTGAATAATATTTCATGGTATATACATATGTGCCACCTCTTTTAAATGTGGCACCAGTAGCTAAATCAGTAAGACAGTGAATGTATTGAAGTTCATACAAATTTAAAACTCCTGCTCTCCGTTAGTGTAAAAAAAAAGCAAAAAGACAAACCATAAACATTAGAGAAAAGCGTACACTTGTGAAGTACATATCTAGTAAAAGACATTTCATGAGTATACAAAGCATTATCTCAAAGTCCAATAAGTAAACAATCTAATAAAATATGTGCAAAAAAAGGGGCTGGGGATTTAGGTCAGCGGCACAGCGCCTGCCTGGCAAGCGCAAGGTCATGAGTTCGATTCC